GGGGGGGAAGAGCAGCCATCTCCCCTCAATGCGGGGTGGGGGGGCGAGCAGTCACGGCCTCCTCTGTCACGACATGACCCCCCCTTATCGCGACGGCCCCCCTCAGGGCTGCGGACACGGGAAACCTGACGCCATCCCTGGACGGGGGCACCTGGCCCTGAGGTGGCACCCGGCCCTGAGGTGGAGCCCAGTGCTTCCAGTGCCCACAGTGCCCCCAATGCCCTCCCAGTACCCCCAGTTCTCCCAGTAACCCCCAGTGCTCCCAGTGCCTCCCAGAGCCCGGCCCAGCTGGGGCGGGGGGCACATGTGGGCGGCCATGTCCTGCCAGGCCCCTGTGTCCTCCCTCGCCCTGAGGCAATCAGTGGGATTAGGGGGAGGCAGCATATGGCAGCCCCATGGGAGGAGGGTCGGGGGCCCGGCCGGGGGCTCCACAGGCCCCGGGGCTGCCGTGCTCCCCTGCCCAGGCCTGTTTCTTCTCCACCTGAAGCCCACAGCCGCCATGGGTGCTGCCTCATACCTCCTCCAGGCTCCACCACCTGCATGGAGGTCACGTCCCCTGGGCCCAGCAAGGGGCCAAAGGGGCTTTTTTGGCCAGTTCATGGAATCACGGAATGGGTTGGGTTGGAAGGGACCTTAAAGATTATCTACCTCCTCCAGGCTCCACCACCTGCATGGAGGTCACGTCCCCTCGGCCCAGCAAGGGGCCAAAGGGGCTTTTTTGGCTAGTTCGTGGAATCACGGAATGGTTTGGGTTGGAAGGGACCTTAAAGATCATCAAGTTCCAACCCCCTGCCCTGGGCAGGGACACCTCCCACCAGACCAGGTTGCTCCAAGCCCCCTCCAACCTGCCCTTGAACCCCTCCAGCTTCTCTGGGCAACCTGGGCCAGGCTCTCACCACCCTCACACCAAACAAGTTCTTCCCCACAGCTCAGCTCCATCTCCCCTCTTTCAGTGTCAAACCCTTCCCCCTCATCCTGTGGCTCCCCTCCCTGATCCCGAGTCCCTCCCCAGCTTTCCTGAGGAACTGGAAGGGGCTTGAAAGTCTCCCCAGAACCTTCTCTTCTCCAGGCTGAACCCCCCAACTCTCTCAGCCTGTCCCCACAGCAGAGGGGCTCCAGCCCTCCCAGTATCTCCATGGCTCTCCCAGCCCCGTTCATCCAGCCCCAGCCCGGCAGAGAGCCTGGCGCCAGAGCAGGAGGCCATTTCAGGGAGCTCTGACACCACGGAGCCTCCTCTGGTCCCTATCAACCCGGAGAGAAGAGGGGGGGGGTGGACAACACGCCAAGCACCCATGTGGAGGTAGAGATGGCACCGAGCCACCGGCCAGCCCGGTGCGGCACCCGGCACTCCCGGGCCAAGCCCTGGAAACCGGCTGGGCTGGGAGAGGAGCATCCGGCTGCCGTGTCCCCGCTGCCCAACGGCGGGTGAGAGCCACCGGGGCCCCCCGTGTGTGCCAGGGCAGTGCCACCACGGGTGGGGACGTGTTTGCCGACATCAATCACCCTCGGGAGCAATGCGGAAGAGCCAGGGAACGGGCTCCGTCCGCGCCAAGCCGGCGATTAAATATTTACCTTAGCCGGCTGTGTTTGCCAGTGATGGATCGGCGTTTCCAGGGAGGAGCTTGCTTTTGTTCAAACAGGGAGCAAAAGCCCTCCGTGGCGCCCATCAGGAGACGGGGACACCAACCACACAGGTCCCTGGGGACATTGGCCCAACCAGCACAACCCCAACAACCCCCAGAACACTGTAAAAAAGCACTTTCAAGGCTCATTATTTTCTTTTTTTTGGGGGTGGAACAAACCAGGTTTAATCTCTGGAAGGTGAAAGGAAGAAACCGAGAGGACCCCCGGGGGCTGCCCCGGTCCCTGCGGTGACACGGGGTCACGGCCACCCACCGGGGACCCCAAGTGCAAAATACAAATGCAGCATTTTGGGTGCTGATCAGAACAGGGCAGAAACGCGGCTTTCTGCCACCGGAACGCGTGTGTGAGTGTGCGCCAAGGTGAGGCTCGTATTAAAAAGTGAGCTACAAAAGGCTTTAAAAAGTGAACTCATCCCCAAATAAATAAATCACCGACTCGTGCCCGTGCCGTGACCCGGTGCGTTGGCCGCGTTGAGGTCCCACGTGCTGGGGACTGTCACCAGCACCGCCGTGGGGCGGCTGTTCTGCCCAGGGGTCACCCGGAGAGACACCGAAATGCTTTTGGCTGTGCCTGGCCCCCCATGGGGAACCTCTTCCCGGAGCCCTGTGGGGCATGACGTCCCCAGGGCTGGGATGGGGCAGGAGCATGGTGTCCCTGAGCCCCATCACAAGGGGATAAGGACCTTTCCCACCATCTGTACATGGGGACACCGGGCGGGAGAGGGGACAGTCACTGGAGGAGGGCAAGCAGCATCCTTGTGCCTATCAGGACCTGCTCAGCTCCTGCATGGAGACACGCTTTGGGTCCCTCCGTGTCCCGGTGGCCACCCAGGTCCCTGTGGTGCCAGTGCTCTCCACTGCCAGCTCTCCACTGTCCCCAGCATTTGCCGGGGCAGTGCCCAGTCCCACGTCCCCACGGCAGCAAGGGGACCCACCGGCCGGTGCCGCTACGTGCCCAGGGGCAGGAATGTGACGTTGCCCTCCGTGTCCAGGCACAGCTCGTGGCTGCCCTCGGGCCCCGGCACCGAGCGTCCACCACCACTTCCATCCTTCGGTAGCGTCCCCTCCAGCGCCTGCCGGTTGTCCACGTCCCTGGGGCGGGTGACAGGCGAGTCCTGGTCCCCGGGGCCGGGTGACAGGCGCTCGGTGTCGGCCAACTCTGAGTCATCTGTGGCTGGTGTCTTGGAGCCGCTGTTGTCCTCGTCCAAGGGGCTCTCAGCTCCCTCCAGCTCCGTGTCCGACTCACCCTCCTCCTCCTCCTCCAACGTCAGCTCAAACTGGAACTTGTCGGTGGCAGCAGGGGACACCCCGTGGGCGGGAGAGGGGACAGTCACTGGAGGAGGGCAAGCAGCATCCTTGTGCCCATCAGGACCTGCTCAGCTCCTGCATGGAGACACGCTTTGGGTCCCTCCGTGTCCCGGTGGCCACCCAGGTCCCTGTGGTGCCAGTGCTCTCCACTGCCAGCTCTCCACTGTCCCCAGCATTTGCCGGGGCAGTGCCCAGTCCCACGTCCCCACGGCAGCAAGGGGACCCACCGGCCGGTGCCGCTACGTGCCCAGGGGCAGGAATGTGACGTTGCCCTCCGTGTCCAGGCACAGCTCGTGGCTGCCCTCGGGCCCCGGCACCGAGCGTCCACCACCACTTCCATCCTTCGGTAGCGTCCCCTCCAGCGCCTGCCGGTTGTCCACGTCCCTGGGGCGGGTGACAGGCGAGTCCTGGTCCCCGGGGCCGGGTGACAGGCGCTCGGTGTCGGCCAACTCTGAGTCATCTGTGGCTGGTGTCTTGGAACCACTGTTGTCCTCATCCAAGGGGCTCTCAGCCCCCTCCAGCTCCGTGTCCGACTCACCCTCCTCCTCCTCCTCCAGCGTCAGCTCGAACTGGAACTTGTCGGTGGCAGCAGGGGACACCCCGGGTCCCTCAGGTGGTGGGGATGGGCTGCGCGGGATCATGCTCTGGTACCATTCCCGGTTGTCCTCCAGCGTGTCCAGGAGCTCTTGGGCATCGGGGTGCACCAGGTCGGCCCACGTCTCCCACAACGGGTGGGCGATGAAGTCAATGAAGCCCACCTGGGGGAAGGCAGAGCTGAGTCACCAGCCTGGCCTTGTGGGGCCCCCACCCCATCCCCAGGCCGCTGCCCCACCTGGGACTTCTCCACCGAGGCAGTGTGCTTGTCGCACATGGGGCTGATCTCCATCCCCTTCTCCCGCTCCCGGTCGCCTTGGTGGAAGAACTCCACCATGATGCGGTCGGTCCATTGCCGATAGAGCTCCAGCGGCTTCGTGGGGTTGCTGAGGTCAGCACAGTGCACCATGTTCTGCAGGACCTGTGGACACCACCATGGCATCGCTTACCCAAAGTCCATTTTCCCCCAGGGCCACCACCCCGATGCCAGGAACACCCTTGGCCAACTAGGATTGGGAGGGGTGGTGGCACCAAACAGGACATCCCAGTAGCCCTGGCTGGAGCCAGGACCAACACCTGCAAACATCAGGAAGGTTTCCCCACCCGTGTCCTCGCACCCACCTGGATCCGGTCGGAGTAGTTGTCCAGCAGCAGCACGCCCAGGCTGGTCACCTTCTTGGTCTCCACCATGGTTTTCAAATCCGCCAGCAGATTCATGTGCTTGGACATGTCCGTGGCCAGCACCTGGGCAGGGCAAGCCAGGAATGGAGCTCAACCTGACCCCACCACAAAGCCCCCCAGCCCGGACACCCCACCCTGGGGTGGTCTAGGCCTCCCTGTACCATGTCGATGGCCATTTTGCGGAGTGACTGCCTCTGCTTCTTGCTCAGGTTCTGGAAGATGTCACAGTTCTCCTCCTGGAGAAGCTTGAAGCCCACGGCCAGGTGGTGGTTCTCCAGCACCGAGGCATCGTTGTACATCAGCGCCAGCTCTGAGTCTGTGAGATGGCACCAGTCACCCAGGGGTGGCTCCTGGACACCAGGGTCCCCCAACAGCCCCCAGCTCCATCCCTGCACCCCGGCTCACTGGTGTTGATGAGGAACTGGTTGGAGACACCCGGGTGGTCAACATCATGGATGGCACTGGCGAAGATGGCAGCCATGATCTCCAGATCCGTGAAAACAGCCTAGAAATGGTGAAAAAAAGACATTGAAGATGTGCTATGCTCCCACCAGACACACCAGGTGGCCTCAGTGGCCTTGGGTGACCAGGGCGCACCTCCAGCGCGGGCGTGGAGAGAAGGACATGGGTGGACTGAGCCACGTCGGCAGCGTGGATGCTGTTGTGGTAGGCCACGTCGGCGTGGTAGTGGTCCTCCAGAGTCAGCATGTAGGTGATGAAGGTGTTGACAGGGATGCGGAAGGTCTTCATCAGGTCACGCTCCTGCAGGGAGGCAGGAGATGGCTCGTCCCCATCCGAGGATGGGGACAGGGACATCCCGTTGGGATGCTCACCTGGAAGATGCTGTACATGATGACCGTCAGCGGGCGGTTGCCCGAGTACTCAGCGACTTTAAACACGTTGAGCCCCCACTTGTTGGTGTCCTCCAGCTCCTGGGGACCAGAGGGACAGAAGTCCATGCGGGGCCAGCGCTGGGGACCCTACAGCCGGTTGGGGTCACCTACACGGGGGCCCACCTTGGCCAAGAGCCCCTCCTGGTCCGTCCGCACCCCGAAGCGGGGGATGCCGGCGGCGGCGAGGCTGGAGCCGTGCGTGAGCTTCCTGACGCCGCTGATCTGGGACATGGGACGCTTCCTCCGCTCCTTCTCCTTGTCCTTGGCCAGCGCCGGGGGGATCTCCACCTCATGCTGCTTGTCTGGGACAGCGTTGGGGGGGGGGCTGTTAGCAGCGTGGGAGCTTGATCCTATCCCCCCACCACCACCCCCACCCTGCGGCATCCCCTCTGGTGACGCTGATGATGTCATCTGGCACGGATAACACCGCAATTCCATGGCAACCGGGAGGGGCTGCTTGGGGATGCCCAGCGCCTTCCCTCACCCCCTCTGCCTACCATGGGACCCTGGGCACACACACACCCCCCCCAGCAGCATAGGGATGGCCCCAACATCCCCATTGCACCAGTATGCACTAGTATACACCAGTATGCACCAATATACACCAGTGCTCCCAGACAGGACAAAGGCTGTGACACCTCCAAGTCAACAAATCCCATGGGGGCACCTGGGGAAAAAAAACCCACCCTTTTCCCTCCCCCCATTTAATTTCTTTGCAAGAAGCAAGTGGGACTGTGGCACCCCGTGGGCACCCGGTGCCAGGAGGTGCCACAGGGTTCCTGCCCAGGTCCTTGGTGGAGCAAAGCCCACCCTGCCACCAGCAGAGAGAGGTGACAGGGGTGTCCCCAGGGTGGTTGGGGGAGGTCCTCACCCAGGAAGGTGCTGGAGATGTACTCGGAGACCTGGTTCCCCGAGCGACTGGTCTCTGAGAGGTGCGTCAGCTCCCGGTTCAGCATCCTTTTGAACTGTGGGCAGCAGGCAAGGCTCAGCATTTTGGGGGGCAAGCATCCTGAGGGTCTCCGTGCCCCCCCGGGGTGATGGGGGGCTTCCGTGCCGGGGTCCCTTACCTTGTTGGAGGCCATCTCGCTGACCGAGTGCCTGGTCTGCAGCGTCTCCAGCTGGTCCAGGCACCAGTCCAGCTCCTCCAGGGTCTCCCGCGAGAGCTTCTGGTGGGCATCCTCTGCCGGGGGCAGCCACCAGCTTGGCAAGGGACCTGCCAGCGGCGCGGTGACCCGGCACGGGGGCACACGGAGGGTCCCGGCCACGGTGCCAACGAGTGGCTGTGCCACACCGAGCCCGGGGGTTCACCGGTTTGGCTGCTCACGTCCCCCCCCGAGCTGGGTGGCCGGGGACACGGGGGGATGCGGGGGACCAGATGTGGGTTGGGATGGAGCATCCCCAGGCAGTGGGGCTGAGCCCCCTCACGCCATCCCCATGGCACCCCAGCCCCGGCACGCGGCGTGCCACACTGTCCCCACGGGGTGACAGCCAGCCAGCCCCCGGGGCAGCCGGGCTCCCGCCGGGCCCCGCTCGCTCGCCGCCGGGGTTTTATTAATGGAAGGTTTGACGTCAACGGGAGCCTTTCCACCACGAAGGGCGGCCAGGCGGGAGGAGCTGCCGAAAACCAGACATGGATCCCAAAGGGCAAAGCCACAGCTCTGTCCCAGCCTGGGGAATGGGGGGGGGCGTGGGGGTTGTTGAACCCCCCCAGGACCCAGCAGGACCCATCCCTGGGGACACAGGGACAACCAGCTCACCCCAAAAGTGTTCCCCCCTCAACCTTCCCCCTCCAGCACTCACCGGTGAGGCTGGCCTTGCTCCCGGAGGGCAGGCTGCTGCTCGATCCTCGCCTGGGAAATGCGGGGGGCTGAGTGGGGGGGACCCCCAGGGTGGTGTGTACCCCCCCCCCATTGCCGTGGGGTAGAGCCCCCCACCTGGGCAAGACCCTCATCCACCCCACGGCCAACTCACTTGATGCCGGCGCGGTCCTGGAGGTGGGTCAAGTTGCTGCGGACGGTGCGGAGGCTGGCCAGGACCTGGGGGGGGTTAGAGGGGGCTGGAAACAGGCAGACCACCCCCCCGGGGGCACCCATCCACTTGTTGGTGTCCTCCAGCTCCTGGGGACCAGAGGGACAGAAGTCCATGCGGGGCCAGCGCTGGGGACCCTACAGCCGGTTGGGGTCACCTACACGGGGGCCCACCTTGGCCAAGAGCCCCTCCTGGTCCGTCCGCACCCCGAAGCGGGGGATGCCGGCGGCGGCGAGGCTGGAGCCGTGCGTGAGCTTCCTGACGCCGCTGATCTGGGACATGGGACGCTTCCTCCGCTCCTTCTCCTTGTCCTTGGCCAGCGCCGGGGGGATCTCCACCTCATGCTGCTTGTCTGGGACAGCGTTGGGGGGGGGGCTGTTAGCAGCGTGGGAGCTTGATCCTATCCCCCCACCACCACCCCCACCCTGCGGCATCCCCTCTGGTGACGCTGATGATGTCATCTGGCACGGATAACACCGCAATTCCATGGCAACCGGGAGGGGCTGCTTGGGGATGCCCAGCGCCTTCCCTCACCCCCTCTGCCTACCATGGGACCCTGGGCACACACACACCCCCCCCAGCAGCATAGGGATGGCCCCAACATCCCCATTGCACCAGTATGCACTAGTATACACCAGTATGCACCAATATACACCAGTGCTCCCAGACAGGACAAAGGCTGTGACACCTCCAAGTCAACAAATCCCATGGGGGCACCTGGGGAAAAAAAACCCACCCTTTTCCCTCCCCCCATTTAATTTCTTTGCAAGAAGCAAGTGGGACTGTGGCACCCCGTGGGCACCCGGTGCCAGGAGGTGCCACAGGGTTCCTGCCCAGGTCCTTGGTGGAGCAAAGCCCACCCTGCCACCAGCAGAGAGAGGTGACAGGGGTGTCCCCAGGGTGGTTGGGGGAGGTCCTCACCCAGGAAGGTGCTGGAGATGTACTCGGAGACCTGGTTCCCCGAGCGACTGGTCTCTGAGAGGTGCGTCAGCTCCCGGTTCAGCATCCTTTTGAACTGTGGGCAGCAGGCAAGGCTCAGCATTTTGGGGGGCAAGCATCCTGAGGGTCTCCGTGCCCCCCCGGGGTGATGGGGGGCTTCCGTGCCGGGGTCCCTTACCTTGTTGGAGGCCATCTCGCTGACCGAGTGCCTGGTCTGCAGCGTCTCCAGCTGGTCCAGGCACCAGTCCAGCTCCTCCAGGGTCTCCCGCGAGAGCTTCTGGTGGGCATCCTCTGCCGGGGGCAGCCACCAGCTTGGCAAGGGACCTGCCAGCGGCGCGGTGACCCGGCACGGGGGCACACGGAGGGTCCCGGCCACGGTGCCAACGAGTGGCTGTGCCACACCGAGCCCGGGGGTTCACCGGTTTGGCTGCTCACGTCCCCCCCCGAGCTGGGTGGCCGGGGACACGGGGGGATGCGGGGGACCAGATGCGGGTCGGGATGGAGCATCCCCGGGCAGTGGGGCTGAGCCCCCTCACACCATCCCCATGGCACCCCAGCCCTGGCACGCGGTGTGCCACACTGTCCCCACGGGGTGACAGCCAGCCAGCCCCCGGGGCAGCCGGGCTCCCGCCGGGCCCCGCTCGCTCGCCGCCGGGGTTTTATTAATGGAAGGTTTGACGTCAACGGGAGCCTTTCCACCACGAAGGGCGGCCAGGCGGGAGGAGCTGCCGAAAACCAGACATGGATCCCAAAGGGCAAAGCCACAGCTCTGTCCCAGCCTGGGGAATGGGGGGGGGCGTGGGGGTTGTTGAACCCCCCCAGGACCCAGCAGGACCCATCCCTGGGGACACAGGGACAACCAGCTCACCCCAAAAGTGTTCCCCCCTCAACCTTCCCCCTCCAGCACTCACCGGTGAGGCTGGCCTTGCTCCCGGAGGGCAGGCTGCTGCTCGATCCTCGCCTGGGAAATGCGGGGGGCTGAGTGGGGGGGGACCCCCAGGGTGGTGTGTAACCCCCACTGGAGCCCCCCACCTGGGCAAGACCCTCATCCACCCCACGGCCAACTCACTTGATGCCGGCGCGGTCCTGGAGGTGGGTCAGGTTGCTGCGGACGGTGCGGAGGCTGGCCAGGACCTGGGGGGGGTTAGAGGGGGCTGGAAACAGGCAGACCACCCCCCCGGGGGCACCCATCCTGGCACGGGGTACAGGGCTGTGTCCCCTCCTCGCCAGGGCACGGGGATGGCACCTACCTGGGCGAACGGCGTGACGATCATGTCTTCTCCATGCCTGCAGGAGAAAAGGGAGTGTGAGCCTCAAGGAGGGGTCCCGGGGGGGGCTCAGGGTGGGGGTGAGGGTTGCTGGGGAGCTGGGGGGGGCACTCACAGGTCGCTGGCGATGGAGGAGTTGCGGGACATGGCTTTTGGGGACAGGTCGTAGTCGCTGTCGGAGCGGTAGAGGAAGGACTCGCGGCGCTGGCCATGGGAGAAGGTGCCCTGGAGGACCAGCCCCGCGCCTGGGCTGGACTGGGGGTCCAGAGCACCCCGCCCGGGGGGGCCATTCTCCAGGTCGAAGCTGTGAGGGGAGAGGGGACAAAGCTGGTAGGGGGTGGGTGGCCCAGGGACCTCAGCCCATGGGTACAAGGGCAGAGCTCGAGGGATGCCACTGAGTTTGCCAGGCTCTCCATGCCACCATCAAGCTCAGTGATGGTGACACCACCATCAGGCTCGGTGGCCTCTGCGGTGACACCGGTCACCACCCAGCCTGGCCCTGTCGGCTCCTTCACCGTGGTGCTGAGAACGGTCACAACTCAGTGCACATAAACCTCCCAGATGTCCTGGATCCAGGACTGGGGACACCAGCTAGGAAAAACCATTTGTCCCATGTCACCCAGGTGGGACAACACCCCCCCCCCCCCCGAAGCCTCCAGCTCCAGACACCCTTGGAGGGGCCGGTTCCTGCCCGTCCTGTCCCCCCACTGTCCCCAGAACCGTGGTCCCCCATTGCCCCAAGTCCTGGAAAGCCCCGAAGCCTCCATCAGCCTTGGCTCAGGATGCTGTGTCCCCTGGGGGGGGGACAATGTCCTGGCCATGGGGCTGAGCCAAGGGCTGTCGAAGGACAGAACCCCCAGGGGAAGGCAAGCCCTGGCCTTTGGGGACACACTGGTGGCAGCCAGGGGACACCCCAACCAGAGCCACCTGCGAGGCGTGCGGGTCCACGGGGGGACAGGGGACATGGGGACAGGGCTGGTGGCCCCGTGGTGTCCCTGTGGTGGCCGTGGCCACCTCACCCTCCTCCCACTCCGCTGGCCCCGGGGTCATGAGAAAGGCCACGCACGGGGACGTGCCGAGGGTCACCCGGCGCCTGTCCCCTCCCGCGGCCACCACCGCCACCCCAGAGCACTGGGTGAACTGGGAAAGCACCGGAGGGAGGGCCGGGGACCACCAGTGGCCACCCCATCCCCATCGCCCCACTGAGAGCCCCACACCTACCCGATGCAGGAGTGCCTCCGGGACGGGCACCGGCTGCCCGGCAGCATCTCCCCGCTCCGGTAGCCCCGGTGCCCGCGGCGTGAGCGTCCCCGGCAGCGGCGGTGCCAGGCAGGCACCGCGTCATGCCACCCCGCAACCCCTTGTTTTCCTGCCTCTGCTTCGCGTCCCCGATGGTACCGGGGACACAAAGCCCCATTGTGGCTCCCCCGGGTGATGCCCTACGTCTCTTCCCGGCTCCCTGCCACCACCTCTGCCACCCCAGGGGTTGGCAAAGGGGGGACACGAGCCCCCGCCATGGGGCTGGTGCCTAATTAAACCCCCCCTCGTTTCGGTGACGGGCTGTCGGCATTAATAACCGCTGAGCGGTGCCGGATGGCGGGGAGGAGAAGGGGGGGGGGTGCTGGGGGCTGCTATAAATAGATGCTGTTGCTGCTGTGGAGGGATCTGCTGAGCCCCACGGCGCCCGCGCAGGTGGGGCTGGCACCCACCGGTACCATGGGGTGCGGGCAGGGGGGGGCACCCCCAAAACCAAACCCCATAGAGCTCCAATGTTAGGGGGGGAAGAGGGGGTGCCGTAGTGGGTGGTTTGGTGCCAACGCCATGCCAGGAAAAGCCCCTCTGTCCCCCCCTCCCACCACGGCACCCCCCTTGCTGTGGGTCAGAGGCTCGTCACACCTGATTGATTGAGTCCCTGCACGGCCATCGCTGCAATGAGTGCGTCCGTGCTCAGCCACGCTTCCCCCAGACCCCGGCTCAACCCCCAGGGATTGCGTGGTGACCCCACTGTCCCCTACTCGTCCCCCACGTCCCCTTGGGGACACACCAGAGCGCTTGGTGGCGGCAGGGGGGGGGGGGCCAAAATGACCCCATTCCCCGGTGCTTCCTCCCCCCCCCCCGAGGGTGAGCACGGCCCCTTTTTGGGGACCCACCAGTGTTGTGTCCCCCCCCCACCCCTTACCAGAGGGGATGCGCCACGGTGAAGCGCCGCTGCAGGCGGATGCTCTGGTTCATCAGGAGCTTCCTGAAGAGGACGGGGGAATTGCGGGGGGAAGCGTGGGGGGAAGCAGCCGGCGAAGCCCCCGGTGAAGGTTGGGGGGTGGGCAGCATGGCACAGCTCAGGGACCCCCGGCACGGCGGCGGCGACGAGGCCGCGTTGCCCACCGGTACGGAGCAGGAAACCGGCGACCGTCCCAACCCCAGGAAACTTTCCATCCCCCTCCCGCCCGCGCCTGGGAAATTAAACAACTGTCTGGCTCCGGCTGCCGGCACATGGAGCGGGTCCCATCGTCCCTCTGTCCGTCCGTCCCTCCGTCCCCCGGGGGCTGCGCCAGCACGGTGTGTGCGCCCGGGCATGTGGCCCCTTTCGCTGGCCCCGTGCCACCGGCCACATTGCTGTCCCCAAAACGGCAGCTGCTCCCACAAGGGCAGGAGAGCTCTGCCTGGACACGCGGCCAAACGCCACGCTGAGCCCCCGGCGGACGTGACATACGGAGGGGGCCGTGTCACGGTGCCACCAAGGGACACAGCCGAGCCTGGAGCATCCTGGACATACAGCACAGATGTGCCATGGTGCCACCGAGGGACACAGTTGAGCCCAGAACATCCTGGGCATATGGTGTGGCCCATGCCATGGTGCCACCAAGGGACATGCCTGAGCCTGGAGCATCCTGGGCACGTGGCGTGGCCCATGCCACGGTGCCACCGAGGGACACAGTAGAGCCCAGAGCATCCTGGGCACATGGTGTGGCCATGCCACGGTGCCACTGAGGGACACAGTTGAGCCTGGAGCATCCTGGACGTACAGCACAGATGTACCATGGTGCCACCGAGGGACACAATTGAGCCCAAAGCATCCTGGGCACATGGTGTGGCCATGCCACGGTGCCACCAAGGGACAGAGTAGAGCCCAGAACATCCTGGGCATATGGTGGGGCCATGCCACGGTGCCACCAAGGGACAGAGTAGAGCCCAGAACATCCTGGGCACATGGTGTGGCCATGCCACGGTGCCACCAAGGGACATGCCTGAGCCTGGAGCATCCTGGGCACGTGGCGTGGCCCATGCCACGGTGCCACCGAGGGACACAGTAGAGCCCAGAGCATCCTGGGCACATGGTGTGGCCATGCCACGGTGCCACCGAGGGACACAGTTGAGCCTGGAGCATCCTGGGCAGATGGTGTGGCCATGCCATGGTGCCACCAAGGGACATGCCTGAGCCTGGAGCATCCTGGGCACATGGTGTGGACACGCCACAGGGCCACCAAGGGACACAGTTGAGCCCAGGGCATCCTGGGCACATGGTGTGGCCATGCCACAGTGCTACCAAGGGACATGCCTGAGCCTGGAGCATCCTGGGCACATGGTGTGGACACGCCACAGGGCCACCAAGGGACACAGTTGAGCCCAGGGCATCCTGGGCACATGGTGTGGCCATGCCACAGTGCTACCAAGGGACATGCCTGAGCCTGGAGCATCCTGGGCACATGGTGTGGACACGCCACAGTGCCACCAAGAGACACAGCCAAGCCTGGAGCATCCTGGGCACATGGTGTGGACACGCCACGGTGCCACCAAGGGACACAGCCAAGCCTGGAGCATCCTGGACATACAGCACAGATGTGCCACGGTGCCACCGAGGGACACAGTTGAGCCCAGAGCATCCTGGGCACATGGTGTGGCCCATGCCATGGTGCCACCAAGGGACATGCCTGAGTCTGGAGCATCCTGGGCACATGGTGTGGCCATGCCATGGTACCACCGAGGAACACAGTTGAGCCCAGAGCATCCTGGGCACATGGTGTGGCCATGCCACGGTGCCACCGAGAGACACAGCCAAGCCTGGAGCCCCCAGGTACATCCTGGGCACGTGGTGTGGCCGTGCCACAGTGCCACTGATGGACACAGCCACCCCTGGAGCACCCTAGACATGAAGTGTGGCCACACCACGGTGCCACCAAGTGATGTGTCTGAGCCTGGAGCATCCTGGACACACGGTGTGACCGTGCTACGGTGCCACCAAGGGACCCATGAGATCCAAATCCACCCTGGGGCTCACATTGTGTCCCCAACTCCTCCTCGGTGATGGTGACACCGGTGGGGGAGGAGCTGGCCCAGCCGTGGGAGGTGGCACCTGCCCAGCAGCATCTGTGGGGACCCCAAAAACCTGCCTGGTGGCAGTCCTGGTGGAGGGGGTGGCTTCCAAAGGACGGCGAGCACGACTATGGGGACACCACGGCAGGGGGACAGAGGGACGTCAGGGGACACTGGGGCGGGGGCAGTGCCAGCCCCCCCAGGGCTGCCCGTCCCCAGGACAGCCCGTCCCCGTTCCCAGGACAGCCCGTCCCTGTGGTTGTCCCCGTCGGACACGTGTCTGTGCAGGGGGTGGACATGGAGTGACACCGGAGCCAGGTCCCTTGGCCGTGCCAGCCCCGTGTTGTCCCCACAAGCCGGGCTGGGACACGCACGGGGGGGCGGGTAATGGCCCAAAAATAACCCAGCAGCAGCAGCAGCGCAGCCAGGGCCGAGCCACAGCGGGAGGGACAGAGGTCACTTTCGGGCAGGGCCAGGCCGGTGGCATCCAGCTGGGACAGGGGACAGGGACAAGGAGGGGGTGAGGAGGAGGAGGACAGGGGTTGGGGATGGGGTGACAGGGATGGGGGGTGATGGGGACAGAGGTGGTGGAGATGAGGGGATGGGGACGGGGGGTACAGGGATGGGGACAAGGTGGTGGAGATGAGGGGATGGAGATGATGGGGACAGGGATGGAGACAGGGTGATGGAGACGAGGGGATGGGGACAGAGGGGACAGGAATGGGGACAGGGTGATGGAGACGAGGGGATAGGGATGGGGGGATGGAGAAGAGGGGAGGGGGGGGGCGGGGAGGGGGA